GAGTGGTAGGAGACCAGAAGAGAATAAAGGTTGAGATATTGTGCTCAGAATCCTAAGAGAAGTTGCCATGGAGATAGGACAGGAACTGTGCCTAAAGGAGAAAGAAGAGGTGGTTGGGCAGGTGGGTCAGGGTATTGGCATGGTATTGGCAATGATGGATATCCTTATGCTCTCCTCTGGGCATGGGAGGGGACTTGCCTGGGGTCCTCTTGAAGAGCAGTGATGTTATTTACTTCTAGACTTACATGGAGGGGGTCCCAGGAAGACTTAATGCTCTTGGAAAGATACGGGACTGTGTTGAGACTTATAGGACCTGTTGCCCAAGAGTGGAAGTGACACTGCCTGGAACAATAGCCATTTCTGTCATCACATTCTTAGATGCAGACCCAGTGGCTCCCCTATATACACCTACAGAGCCCAGGATCTGCCTCCTCTGGAGCAGGAAAAGCACTCTGGTTAGAGCACGTGTGTACTGAGCATCTCCTGTTTGCAGGCATGACCATGGTAGTTAAGCATTATTCTCATAATAGCCCTGAATCATTTCACCATCACCACGAGGTTTGAGATAATGAACTAGGAGTTAAATAAGTGTCTGTGGCAGACAGCAAAATAACAGCTTTGAGAGAGAAAGTTGCCTGCTTTGGAGACAGGCAGGCACCATGCAGATCCTGGCTATGTGGCCTCGGTCAAACCGCTGTATCTCTATATGTTCATTTTCCGGTGCATCCAATTAGAATAACACCTGCCCTGAAGTATCATAGTGAGAGATAAGCAAAAGTATGAGATACATAAATGTGTTGTTATTTTGCAGTATGTAATGATATTACAAATATGTGCATTTGTGTTCACTTTTTAATATCTTTTTAGTTATGTGCATCTGTGTGTTGATGTGAGTACATGAGTGCAGAGAATGTACTCGGAGATCAGAGGTGTTGGATACCCTGGAGCTGGAGTTGCAGAGAGTTGTGAGCTGCCTGATGTGGGTGCTGGGAATCCAACTCTGGCCTTCCCAAAGAGCAGCCAGGGCTTTTAACTGCTAAGCCATCAAGTGTTTGGTTTTTGTGTGTATGTGCGTAGCTATAGCATTTTCTGTGGATTCCTCCTGTGGTTGCTTCCCTACCCTCTTTGAAAGGTGACTCGTTCTGGGACCATGACTGTGTGCAACTGACTGGGAAACACATACAATGGGTGTTAAGACAGGTGGGGAGGTATATTCCTTACAGCAAGAGGGAAACCAAAAATGATCATATTAGATTAGTTTCCCTTGGCGCTGCCGGGGATCTAACCTACTAGGCATATGCCCTTCCCCTGGTATTTTTCACACACAAAAGAAAGAAAGAAAGAAAGAAAGAAAGAAAGAAAGAAAGAAAGGAAGGAAGGAAGGAAGAAAGGAAGAAGGAAGGAAGAAAGGAAGGAAGGAAGGAAATGGATTCTGTTCTTTCAGCTGGATTTTTGTGTATTGGTTTTTTATTTTTTTTTTTCTTTAATATCTGCTAGGTTCCTAGAAAAGTCCAGTATACATACTTGGTGGCATTTCTATGTATTGCCTTCCCACAGTCTAGCCTTGGAAAATTATAAGAATAAAAAGATATTGCTGGCATTACAGTATGAAGTAAAGATTGTTTCAAAGTATACAGTCATTAAAGGGTATAGTGAGTGATAGCATCAAAGAATGAATGCTAAGGTTCATCAAAGAAGGAGGGTGGGGAGTGGCTAGGGAGGGTTCTAGGTACCTTTGTAAGCGCAAGTTCTTTTTGTGATGAGACTGGGTAATGAACATGGTGAGGTATACTTAGCAGATCCCATTTTCTACATCTACCCACTAGAGAAAGTGAATCAAGACCAATTTAAAATTGAAGGCTTTGACACTTGAACTATACCCTCATTAAAGTTTATATTTGTTCATCTACAGTCTCTCTCTCTCTCTCTCTCTCTCACACACACACACACACACACACACACACACACACACACGACTGTGTGCCTTTTCGAATGAAAAGAAAAAAAGGAAAAGACAATGACTACTCCTAGGTATGGTGGAGAAGAAAGTTAATGATAGAGATGTGGGACAGCATGGTCAGAAACAGGGACATCTGGGAAGTCCAGAGTGAACATGGCCAAACTGACCTGTGCCACGTGAGGACAGGGGGAAGAGAGAGGGACAGGGAATCAGGTGCAACAGCCAAGAGACCCAGAGAGAGTAGACTAAAAGACCAAGTAACCAAAATGGTTGGAGTATGTAGGGAAGGGCAGCTTGGGGAAGGGCAGTCCAGCCCATGGGCTGGAGAATTTAGGGTAGGGCAGGTGAGGTTTCAGCCCGGAGGGCCCTGTAACAGTAGACACGGAAGGATGCAGGGAGAAACTGGGACCAGGTCCATCTTGATGTATTAAATAGGCACCACAACAGTTTTTCCTGGGTATGAAACCTAATACTTTGTTGTTGTTGCTTGGTTTTGGTTTTCTTATTTGGTTGGTTGGTTTGATTTGGATTCGTTTTCATGTGTTTTTGAGCTGGAACTGTCCTGGACCAGGCTGACCTCCAACACAGAAATCCACCTGTGTCTACCTCCCAAGTGCCGGGTTTCTGTGTGCTTTTAACTAGTAGATGGTGCCCTGCCCTGCCGGGACACTACTGCGATTAATGTAGTTTTCAGAATGAGTACCTTCTACTGAAATTTTCAGAATCTTAAAACTTGCTTTAGGTTTATTTTAATTGCTTGTTTTAAAGTTTATCTGACTTTTACTTTATTACATTTATGTTTACATTCTATTTGCGTGTGCGTGAGTGACAGACTTGGTGGAGAGGTCAGGGGATAACTTGCAGGTGTCAATTCTCTTCTTTCACAATGTGGTTTAAGGAGATATTCACGTTGTCACACTTGGTAGCCAGTGTCACCCCCTGAGCTGTCTTGTCGACATTGACTTTCATTTTTTATATAGCCTGTAAAGTCTTTTAATCTAATGCTTTTGTACAAGTATCTATTGTTCGTTGAGCATCTCCCCTCTCGTACCTGCTGTCATCGCTTCTCTTGTCCCTCCCCGCCCCCTTTGTCCTCCTTAGCCTACTACCGTCCTTTTGTACATACACATTTACACGGTTTTGTTTCCTTATGTAAAATCCCAGGCACCACAAAGGGTGAGCAAGACAAAAACAGGCGGTTTTTGTTTTCCTGAAATGGCCTAATTTGCTTAACATGATGCTCTCCAGATGTACTCCTTTTGCTACAGATAGCATGACTTCCTTCCTCCTCTAAGGCTAAACATGCTTGCTAGAAAGGGAAGCTCTCTGGAGAGCTTGCCTCACCCATTCCTCTGTTGCTGGGCTCCTGCTAGGTTCTTTATTTAGCCAGTGTGAATGATGGACAAGCAAGTGTCCCTGTGAGGTATGGACCTGGAAGCCTTCAGGTAAAGGTGTGTCCATGGGAAGCTATATATAACCCAACAAAGCGCACTTAGAATGTGTTTTTATTGTTTGGTTGGTATAGCAAGGATTTGTGTGTGTGTGTGTGTGTGTGTGTGTGTGTGTGTGTGTGTGTGTATATATATATATATATATATATATATATATATATATATATATACACAAACTTTCAACAGCAATGCTCAGAGGTACCCTCAGCTCCATTTGTAGTCACTAGTGACACGCCTCCCTTAGCCAGTGATAGGTCTCCCATTGGATCCCTCAGGTAAGAGAAATGGCATATCTACAGGAATAATCTGGAGATTCATGATTCAATAACATTTCCCAATAAAACAAACAGGAATGGAAGTAGCTGGAAACGAAGCATTATTTAAATTGTTATGAGGATGTTGCCATTTAACTTCTTTCCATTTTTTGAAATGAGTCTAATCAGAAATGATGTAATTTTATGTCATATGGGGCATTCTGGCTTGACAGGACTGAATAGGCCTCCATGCCCTTTAGATGCTTTGGGGTTTTAGTCTTTCATTCAACCACATATTTTCCAAAGAATGCAACTGACCCTACAGAGCATGGCCCTGAAATGACCACAGGAATGTCAGAGGAAGGAGGACTAACAGCACCTTCTCCATCATCCTTCCTGGGTGGGTCCCAAGACCCCTGCAGACACTAAGTGCCACAGATTCCAAATCCCTGTAGGAACGGTAGTGTATTTGACTGCAACCTCTTTATATCCATCCATATACCTCATATCACTTCTGGATGACCTACCAACTATTAATACAGTGTAGATGCTGTATAAGAATAATACAGAAAAATAATAAAGGAGCTGTATTGTTTAGGGAATAATGAAAAGAAAAAAGTCTATTTATGTTCAGCTCATATTTTTTTTTTCAAGTGTTTTTAGTCAAGTGTTTGAATCTGCAGGTGTGAAACTTGCAGGTACAGAGAACTTACGATGTAGGGAACTTACTTGCTTATGGAACTAATATTCATATGCAAATGATCTTAGCTGGCTTGCTTGTACAGAAGTGTCATGATTATAAGAAAGTGGTTTGGAAACCCAGATGAGGAAAGTGACACTTTGAGTGTGAGAGCAAACGAAGAACAGTCCTTTAAAGACTTGAAAAGCAGGACAGAGTAAAACAAATATGCAGCAGGAAAGGGCATGGGGGCGGTGAAGTGAGCAACCCTGGTGCTTGATGGTAGGGTGGTGATGCTTGATGATAGGCTCAGCTTCATAGGTCCTGTGTGGGCGATGAGAGCCACGCTGGGGTTTGTCCTTCCAGAGAAGTGTTTGCATGATGTATTCACAAAGAGACTCAGGGAAGATTGACCTGATCTTTGAAATGGGTGCTTGGTACTCATAGGAGGGAAGGGGACATTTAAAGCTGGGAGAATCAGGAAGGAAAGCAAATAGAGATGTGTCAGTCATCATTAGGAGAATAGTAACAATTTTGCCTGGGATTAAGACATTCATAAAAATACTGACCAAGTTTTTTTTCTAATCCTAATAGTTTTATGACATTCAATGTTTGAAGCTATTTCACAACGGTTTAAAAAGGAAGCTCCTGCCAGGCCTGGTGACGCATACCTTTAATCCCAACACTCAAGAGCAGAGGCAGGCAGAACTCTGTGAGTTCAAGGCTAGCCTGGTCTAGAGAGTTCTGGGCTAGCCGGGAGTATACAGTGAGACCCTGTCTCAAAACAAAACAAAACAAAAATAAAAAATTGAGCTGTTGGTGCCATGCGTAAGTCAGCCCAAATACATACATTTTCTCTAACACCTCTCATGCTCTAAGATGATCTTGCCATTGGTGGTTAAGAAGTAAGCTGATCTACAATTTTTGACATGACAAAATAAAGGAATGGATCTAGGCAACTATTCAGGCTACCCAGGCACAAAGCTATGAGATACATAAAGTACAAGCTATCGGTGTTGTTGTAGTAGTAGTTTGCATGGTGAATTATGAGTATAATGTTGGTAGGAGCAAAGCAAATTGTAAAAATCACAAGGATGAGGAGAACTGCCTTGATATACCTCAGCCATTTACGATCCTGTGCATTAAGTTTGCGGATGAGAGTTGTATAACAGTAGACAATGACCACAAAAGGAATGAGGAATCCAAAGAATGCTAAGGAGATGAAGTAGTAGAATTGGAAGGGAGATGGAGACTCGCATGTGTTGTGGACGTCATGGCAGGTAGTGATCTCTGGCTGGACGAGATGATACTCCTGCTTCAGGATGGCAAATGGCAACATATATAAGAAAACCATTACCCACACCAGGCCACACATAAGCAAAGTGAAGTTGCGTTTGGGCAGCTTCCGGTATGTGAAAGGATGGACAGTGGCCAGGTAGCGGTTGATGCCCATGCAAGTAAGGATAAGAATGGAACAGTACATGTTGCCATAGAAAATGACTGTGGTGATGCGGCACATGACCTCTCCAAATACCCAGTTGTTCCCATTGAGATGGTAGACAATCTTAAAAGGCAGTGTGACACAGAATAGGAGGTCTGCAACGGCCAGGTTGGTGTGAAAGATGACCAGACAGATGGATTTGGTCCTTGAGGAGAGTTTCCACAGGGTCACAATGTTTGCTGGGACACCAACCACAAACACCAGGATGTAGATGGCAGGTATCAGTTTGGTACTTAAAGAACTTCTCAGGTACCCTATGGTAGCGTTATTCACATGGAGAGTTGAAATACTTCCTTCAGGACATTTCATTCTTACAGTTGTGGTGGCTCCTGTCCAGCCCTCTATGTCAGAAAGCGGGAAGTCTTCAAAGGTATTTGGAGGAGCTCCATTAAAGGTCTTAACAGTTAAAGTTGGTTTTGCAGAGTTCTCTGAAACATTTTTCATGCCTGTAATTGAGAGGAAGTATTAGCACATGATTTGTTACCAAGCCCTACCTGTGGTTTGGGTAAAAATAAAATGTAATGTTTGATGCTGGATGATTTCTATAGTTACAGAACTTAGGGGCTTTTTAAAAAAAAAAAAAAAACCCACAGGTGTAACGAGTACGGTTTTTCTGCCCCCTGCCGCTGGTCTGGTTACTTGTTTCTTATCGGCTAGCTCTGTCTTAATTATTAACCCATTTCTGCTGATCTATGTTTTTCTCTTACCGGGGAGCCGGCGGCATACTGCTTTCTTCAGACTCTCCATCTTGACTCCTCTTTCCTACTTCCTATTTCCTCCTTGTCTCCTAGTCCCTCCTATCTTCCTTTCCTATTGGCCAACAGTGCTTTATTATTAACCAGTATGAGAAACATATACAGAATGACATCTCCCATCACACAGGCATGTACATAGCATGTACGATGTGCCCCATACTGTCCTTTCCTGTGAGAACAACTAGATGACAATGGCCTGCATGTCAGGACTTTATAATAGTGCCAAATCAGTGGTTCTCAACCTGTGGGTCATGAGCCCTCTGGTAAACCTCTATCTCCAAGAATATTTACATTACAGTAGCAAAATTACAGTTATGGAGTAGCAATGGAAATAATCTTATGGTTGGGGGTCACGACAACACAAGGAGCTGTATTGAAGGGTCACAGCTTTAGGAAGGTTGAGGACCACTGTCCTAGAGGAAACAAAGCAGCACAATGGAACATTATAGGAAAATGTTTTATAGCCTACAAGCTGTGTGTATGTGTGTGTATATGTATGCATTTGTGTGTAATGATATATATGTGTGTGTATATATATGCATGTGTGTAGTATACACGCGTGTGTGATGATATATATATATGTGTGTGTATAGTATATATATATATATATGTGTGTGTGTGATATATGTGTGTATATATACATATGTGCTTGTAGTGTGTGTGTGTGTGTGTGTGTTCAGGAAATAGCCATGTTGAGTATTCAAGCAAACTGTCCCTAAAAGACAACCCTGAACAAAGATGAGCAAGCTACAGAGACAGAACTTAATACACGAGGCAGGCTCTCGTGGTAGTAGCTGGGCATGGAACCTGGGAATGGCCAGTGAATTGATCCCGAAAATGTCATGTGCATACTTCCATGGCAGTGCTATGAAGTTTCAAACTCCACTGCTAATTTGAGACATCTAAGAGATGCATTTGAAAAAGTAAGTCACACAATTAAGTCCCAAAGGGACCTTAAGCTGTCCGCTGGGGTTGTATGCAAAAGTCTTTTCCCCCTTTGTTGGCAATTGGACACAGGGTTTTAATGCTAAGCAGCTGTTCTCCCACAGGCCCACATCAGCTCTGCACACAGAATCTGAAGAGGAATGACTACGGTGATAGTTAGAAAACATTCCACCCACTCCACGATTCCACCCGCTAGCTTCTAGAACCTATGATATGTTGCCTCACACGGACAAGGGGTTATTTAGTTATCAGGGAGATGTGGGGGCAGAGCCCTAGATTGGCCAAGTCCTTTTCCATGTGAGGCAAGAAGATCAGAGTCAAGCTTGAAGTGCTATGCTATTAGCATTGAGGATGCAAAAGGATCCAGGAGCCAAGGAACATGAGCAAATCTCGAGGCAGTGTTGAAGGCATGAACATAGTCTTTCCTGTAGCATCCAGGATGAACGTAGCCCTAACAAAACCTAGATTTTAAGACTTTTGACCTTCAGATGACCTGGTGTCATCTAAAGCAGTCACGTGGACATTTGTAGCCTGCACCATTATAAGCATGGTTTGGAAACTGCTTAAAGCGGGTTTGGTGGCAGAGACTGTGAAGGTAAGAAAGTAGGGGCAGGGACCTGCTGCTGGGGGCTGCTGTTCAAACGGCTCAGAATCTCTAAGGATCTGTGAACAGGAGCCATAGAGAGGGTACAGATGGGAACACAGGTTAAGCTGGCCTCTGAGGGGCGTCTCATCTGATTGGTTGTAGAGGAGAATCTGCAAGCAATGTAATTGGAGGTTTTCATTCTGAATGGCTTAGGGGGAAAGGGTGCTGTTTAGAACTGGGATCGGGGATTAGTCAAGTGGGTAAAGGGGGGAAAGGCATTCAAATCTCGGGTTTACAGGAGGTGTGTTTGTTTGGCTGGTTGAGAAAGGGTCTCGCTATAACCCAGGCTAGCCTTGTCTTCCTGCCTCGGTTCCCCGAGGACTGGGATTCCAAGTGTGTGCCAGCACACCTGGCTAACATCTCAGGCTGTAGTATGATGGAGCTGAGACAGCTGGTGGAATGTTAGCCTGTAAAATCTTGGGCGGGCAGTTCAAACACTGGCTGTGACAGTCCCAAAGGCCAAGAGCAAATGTGAGGGGCAAATACCTTAGTCTTCACAGAGTCTGTAGTTTAAATTTGGAGAGGGAAGAGATGGCCTAGGGAAGGATACAGGAAGAAGGAATGCAAAGACAGACTTTAGGAGAAATGCCAGGCTTTAAGAGGAGAGATGACTGAGAAAAAATCAAAAGATGAAATTACTGTGATGACCTGAGGAGTTAAAAATGAACTTTTAAAATGAAAGAAACATACCAGCTGTAAGGATTCGGGTATCATGCTGGCCCCCTTCCCCCCCCCCCCACGGAAGGCACTTGGGTCAGCCCAGGGTTCCATGAGTACTAGACCCCTTTAAAAGACAGGCCCCGCCCACTTACTCTCTCTTTGCTTTCTCTTTGCACTCTCTCTTTGTTCTCTTTCTGGCTCTCCTCCCTCCCTCCCTCCCTCCCTCCCTCCCTCCCTCCCTCCCTCCCTCTCTCTCTCTCTCTCTCTCTCTCTCTCTCTCTCTCTCTCCCCTTCCTAAATAAACTTCTCACTTGAGCTCTGTCTGCCTGGTGTGTCTGTCCCTCTGCCTCCATCACCCTCACCTGCTACGGAACCTACTATGCTCTCCCACGTGGTCCCTTACCTCGGGATTCCCACGAGGGACACCCACCCACCCCTTTTCTCCGGCTTCATCCACCAATGAGGTCCTGGCACAAAACCCCAGAGTCCTCCATTTTCAGTAATCACAGATGATGTTCAGGGGGACAGTTCAGGAGCCAGGGTCTCTCCCTAACTTAATCTCTGGCCTTCAGACCGCAGAGTTTGCATAGGCTGAATTCAGAGTGTTAGATGGGGGGGGGGGGGGTCATTATGCCAGAGCAATGGTGCATGAAGATGACCCTGTGTCATTTAAGGGCAGAATCATTTGGAAGGTAGCATCCTGTGTCTCTGTGTGAAGATGTGAACATCTGAGGACTGTCCTGTGACATTTGAACTCAGTCACTCAAATCCTCTGCACATTTGCATTTGGGGAAAAGTCACGACATCGCTGTAAACAAGCGCTTTAGCAGGTTAGGTGGAATGGTGTGTACAAAGTTCTTCACCCCAAGGTCTGACCGGAACCCTGATGAAACCACATGTCAGTTTTCATGAATCCTGTGATTGAGCAAGGCACGGTGTTGACAGACACGCTGAACAGAGAGACTATTTCTGTGAAATCTCAGGTCTGGCCCCACCTAACCCTTAAGTTAGTCAGAACCTAAAAAATAGTGCTCCTTGTTAAGTTTTATTCATATTAGAAAAAAGATTGGGATTCTTTGGGGTTTTTTGGTGTGGGTTCTCTGAAATGCTCTCAGGTGAGGAGAAGGCTTCAGAGTAACCCTGAGAGAATGGCCCTCTGCTTCCGGATTTCTCCATCACATCTCCCCATGGCAGTGGGTGGAAGTCTTCACTTTTCACTCCTCCCAAGCATGACTGGCATCAGGAACCCTCTTGTGTAGCTCATTTCCTTGCCACTGTGGCTCAGCTTTTTGGGTTTTCCTCTCAAAGAAACCATAAACCTGTCCAAACCCTGCTTAGGGGTCCCCTTAAGCACTTTACAGGGACCTCAACTTCAGCATCATTCCTTTGCAGAAGGTAGCCTTCTGTTTAATTTTGATTTATCCCAGCTTCCCCTCCTAACCCTGTGGATTGCCCTGTGGCCTGACGGTGAGAGAGAGCCCTGGATGCAATCCTGTCTCAAAGTAGCTCGTTTCAGAGCAAGCAGAAAGTTACAAGCTACCACACTGATAGGTAAAATAGACATGTTCAAGGTGAAATAATTACATTTGGGAGATCTTATTTCTAAAACTATGCATAGCTAAATTATACATAAGCATACCATATGTATATAAGTACTTGTGTATACATACACGCACACGTGTGCACGCGTACACACACACACACACACACACACACACACACACACACACACGGGAAGGAAGAGAAGACAGAGAGGGAGAACCCCCTGGTACAGAAAGCTTAACAAAAAAAGACCGCTGAAACCAAATGACCCTCGGTGGGAGTATTTTCCCCGCACCCATGCCGCAACAGAAATGATAAGATTTATATATTTAAAAAGAATCCCTTGGAAGAAAAATGCAGTCTTTTCTAAATCAGGAAATTTCACAAATAAGAAAATTGCCTTTTGACTTAATTGTAGATAAAGTCTTGACCCTGCCACAAATGTGTAACTACTGTAGAGAATAATTGATCTTGAACAAAGTTTGACTTGGCAACAAACTAGCTACCTCTACGATTCCCTTTGAATAACCTAGATCAAACTCTGCCTTTGGGTTCACAGTTCTTGGAAGACAAGAAGAGTAGGTTCATTGACTCCTACAGCACAAACGGTCCCTTCTCCCACCCCCATCCTATTCCAGAAGAGGACTTACCACTCTGGCAAAAAGTGGCCGGCAGAAATAGCAACCTAGCAGCAATCAAGATAAGGACCTTCATTTTGATGTCCTGAGACCCAGTTACGAACCGTTATCCAGTGTGCAAAGTCATAGAGCAGATTTCCCTCTGCTCCATGTATTGGCAGCAAGTGGGGGCCTGAGAAATGTCCACCCTGCAGTGTGTGGGCAGGGACTGTCCTGCCTATGCAAGGAAAGGATGTGGTCACTTTGTTTCCGTATGAGTGACTCAGGCTGAGCCTCTCTGGAGCTCGTTGCCATATCCCTTTAACTCTTCCTCGCCCCCTACCGTTATTTCATTTAGAACTGAGGCTATATTTCTCCCCAGGGCATTTAAATAATGGCAGAGACTGCTGAGTCCTTTTGCAAAACAAAGCTGAGAACAGACACAGAGCAGCAATTAGCTTTGAATTGGTTCCACAGCTCAGGTTTTTCCCCCATTTCGAAAACAGTTCCAGAGATACACTTTCTATTTAATACATGAATAGTTAGAAATTATTTATCAGTGCCTGGCTCAGCCGTTGTCAGAGAGGCTTCTTATAGTAGATGGGAACTAACACAGACCCACAACTGAACAATGTTCAGAGAGTGAGGTTTTGGAGCACTTAGTCCTAAATAGGATGTCATCATCAAAGCTCTTTCCTCGAGGCTTGGGGGACCAATACAGAACAAGAGGCAAAAAGATTGTAAGAGCCAAAAGGGATGTGTGACTCCAAGGAAACTGTCTTCCAGATAAAGCAGGACTGATGCCCATATGAACCTCGGCTTGTACAGGTTCAAGCCAGACAGGGTCCCAGAGCTGAGAGGGGGAAGTGTACATGAGCTCCCACCACTGACCAAGAAGGTATCTGCAACTGATGCCTACAGGCAAAGAGAATTAGCTCCCTCTAAGGGAGTCTCCCTGGGTAGTACACTAACCTCATATTAAGGCAGGCCCCCATGCCCAGGAGTTCCTGGCTAACACAAAGGGAAGTCAATGGTGTTTTGTAGACTTTCTGTCTTGTATTTCTTTGAACATTTTTTTTTTTTTTGGTCTTGTGCTTATATATTTTGGTTTCCTTTTTTTGTGTTTTGTGGGTTTTTGTTGTGTTGTTTCTTATTTTATATTTGTTTCCATATAAAACGGACATGGAGCTGGGGAGGTGGGAAGGATCTGAGAGGAATTGAGGGGAGAGGAAAGTGTGACCAGAATATAATGGGACTATATATATATATATATAGCAAAAATCAAAATGAAATTGCACTTTCTTTTATTATTTGAAAATTTAGTTCCTAGACTGATTACATAAACTAAATTAATCATGAAAAACACCCCCCCTTTTTTTTCCTTTGAGACAGGGTTTCCTATAGCCTAGGCTGGCCTTGAACTCAAGATGTAGCTGAAAATTGACTTGAACTCCCAGGCCTCATCCTTCTGCTTCTGGGTTGCTAAGATCACAGGCCACACCTAGGTTTTGTGGTGCTGGAGACTGACCCCAGGACTTCATACACACTAGGCAAGGACTCTACCAACAGACTTACATGCTCAGTCCTGGCATGTATTTAAGATGTTAACCTTGCAGTAAAGGTATGAGAGTGTTTTTAAACTTCTCTGTTCAGCCAAGTGCCATAGTGCATATTTATAATCTCAGCACCTGACAGACTACAGAAGAAGATTGCAATGAGTTGGAAGCCAGCCTTGGCTACATTATGAGTTTGAGCCCAGTCTCAGGAGCATAGTGAAACTCTGCCTCAGATGGGAAGAAGAGTCTCTGCCTACTGTGGTGCTTTTCCAGAACTTAGTTTTGTTGCTTCTGGGATGAAGGTGCATTTGCCATAGATCAATGTGTTCTAAGCCATTTAATAACTCCGTAGAGTCAGATTGCAATACAGACTCATGCCAAACAACTCTATTAGGATTGAACTAAAATAATAATACTAAAGCATTAACAATTCTATTTGAATGAACTTTATTCCATAAATCTTCATGAACAGGTCTATGTAATAAGCATTTTAAATCATTCACATATATATATATATACATAATTAATTACACAATTAAATTGTATTAATACATATCTATATGTATATATTTTATCTTAGCCATCATAATATTCAGTAGTGTTCAATATATTAACATACCATAATAAAAGAAAACTTGATGCTAATATGTTTGCCTTAATGAACAATATATGATTAAATTCCAAGTCAGACAACTCATCCTCTAAAATGAAGCAAGAATCACATGCAACTTAAAGGCAGAGGAAAGGGCTAACTAGGAAGCAATAGAGAGATTGGTATTAACTTTCATCATCATGATTAAACTTAACCAAACAAAGTCATTTCCAAAGTTCAGATTAACACTTCAGCTCCATAATCTATGGTACCACAAACTAAGGTACAATGTTTTAATCCTGTAGCAACAGTAACCCCAGAAAAATTGGGAGGGTAGACATTTTGTTTTAAGTTTTCTTGGCGTCGGTTGAGTCCAGCAGTTATGGTTTGATTTGCATGGTTGTGGGTCACTCATGCCCTCTTAACTCTCATGTGTAGCTTGTCAGTGCAGCTTAGAGAAGGCCTGGCCATCACAGAGCTATTCCCAGTGTCCTGCTGAGTGACTGAAAGGGAGATTTCCATAGACGTTTGTCTTCACTTTCGGCTTTGTGTTTAACTTTATTTCAGTACATCATGGTCTTGAAACTGTTGGCTCAAATTTGTTTGGTTTTGCAAAGTCTGACTTGAGTTTGCCTTCTGAGACTAATACTTTAATCTTCAATGTGGAACGATCACCATCTTTTCTTATCCAGGCCAGAGTGCGTGTGGTCCATCTCCTACAGTGACGCCACGAACTCTTCAGAAGAAGACGGTTGAGATGGGAGGAACTCGTGTAGTGTTGGATTTTTAAACTATTCCTGGGGAGGATGGGTTCTCTTTGGGTTTAAAAACAGGGAAAGAAATAATCCTAGGGATGGTGAGAGGCACAGAGGTTAAAGGTACTTGCCTGTTACTTAAGCCAGTGACCTGGGTTCATCTTGATTAAGGATGGAAAGAGAGAACCAATTCCACAAAATTGTCCTCTGACCCCCACACATGTGCCATGCACATTCACACAAACACACACATGCACACGCACACACACAATATGTAAATCATTTTTTAAATCCTACTTTCCTGTCTCCTTGTCTTCTTCAAGCCTCTCCTTTCCATTTTCACTTGAACCTCTTCCAAAGTTTCATTTCCTAAGAAATTACTAAGCTGCTTGGTGATGGTTCCCACATGGCAGCACTAGCTGGAGATGACTCAGGAAACAGGCCTCGTGAATTTTCTAGCGTGCCGTGTCCGCCCCCAATAATGCAGGAGGAAACAGTGTGCGTCTGGTCTAGAGCCCTCAGCACACACATTATCTCCCATAGCTCCTGAGGGAAACTGGTGAATGCCTTTTCTCCCTCCCTCACTTCCTGAGCTAGTGATGAAGTTTACCCTAAAGGACTACAATGCCAGAGTTGATTCTTTCCATATACTACAGCTATGTGTGGGTGTGTGATCATATACACGTGTGTTCATATGGGTGGGTACATATGGAGGTGGTGCATGTGTGCTAATAGGTGTGTGCGCGTATGTATATGGAGGTCTCCAGACAATCTCAGGTGTCATTTCTTGGATGCTGTCCACCCTGCCTTTTTTGAGACAGGATCTCTCTCATTGGCCTGGAACTTGCCATTTCAGTGAGGCTGACTGGCCAGTGAGTCCTAGGCATCCTCCTGTCTCTACCACACCAGTGCTGAAATTAGAATGGCACACTACCACTCCTGGGGTTTTTTGCTTTGTTTTGTTTTTTTGTTTTTTTAATAGGTCCCAGAGAATCAAACTCAGGTCCTTGTGCTTGCCAGCTGCGCTATCTCCATAGCCTCTCCCACGCATCTGGACTCCAGGTTTATAGCACAACACTTATCCCTATATATATAAATGAGCACTTAAATCTTGCCAATGGAATTCCAGAGGATGGAGTGATGGTTCAGCAGTTACGGGTGCACTGATCTTACAGAAGTTCTGAGTTCGGTTCCCGCCATGCATGTCAGGTAGCTCACAACTGCCTATAGCCAGCTCCAGGATGCCCTCTCTGGATTCTGAAGGCAATTGCACTCATGTGCACATACATACAGACACTATACACATAGTTAGAATTACAGTAAATCTTTTCAAAAGGGAAATCCAAGGGCTGAAGAGATGGCTCAGAGGTTAAGAGCGCTGGCTGCTCTTCCAAAGGACCCAGGTTCAATCCCCAGCATCCACATGGCAGTTCACAGCTGTGTGTAACTCCAGTTCCAGGGGATCTGACACCCTCATACACACATACATGCAGTCAAAACCCAATGTACATTACAAATGAATCTTTCTTAAAAGTAAAATTCTAAATCTTTCCTTAAAGTATTTAATGTCTACCCATAAAATTGACTTGAAGTCCCATTTAGTGTCTGCCAGCACTCTGATTGCAGCAGAATCTCCAGAATTCGCCTGGATATAAGACACTAAAAGTAATCCCATGCTATGTCACTGCTGCTGATGCTCTTTCTGAAGCCATAGTGAACTACTTAGTTCTTTCTCCTGCATACCAACCCCTCCTCCCCTCCTTCTCAGCCATGCGTCACAGCTAATACCACCCTGATGCAGTATACCCTGATGCAGTACATTCTCCAAGAGATTCTTTGCTCCTTCAATTACTGTATTTTAGTGTCTGTTTTTGTCTACATGTCTGACAAACATTGGGTATCACTGTTTCTCCTGGCACCCTGGGACAACTTGGTAGTTTGCCAAGTTCCCGAATACTTAACTACATAGCCATGGATGGCTTTTTAGTAGAGGCGGCATTTGAGTGATGAGTTATGAGACATGGCAGTAGCCAGCTAGGGTAGAGTGCTGTGGCCGGAAGGAGGGTGCTGTGAGGTTCAAGAACAGGGAATGAGATGCTACAATCAGACAAGGTCCCATCATTGGACCTAGATCCACAGTCCTGAGAAGAGAGCTTGCATTTCTTTCTAAGGTCAAATGGGAAGGATGCAACGAGACATCCGTTTCGAAATGATTGGGAGTTCTCACTAGAGAACTACTGTGGTACAGACCAAGTTGGAAGGAACGAAGCCAGATGAGACAGCAGCACAGCTGTCTGTCTAGGGCAGTGGTTCTTGACCTTC